ACGAATGCCATAGTTTTTACCTAGCTCGTGGGACTACGCAAAATTTTGACAGCTTGTAAATATGTATACACATAAAGTTGTTGGCGGTTATAAAGAGTCAAAATCAAAATGGAGAAAAGAACAAAAAGCGTACGTTAGTTGTCAGTTATAAAATAAATCCAATTTATTTGCGAATATTTGTTTATTCTATTTATTGAAAGGCAACCACGCGGAAAAGCTTGTGTTAATTATATTGCTTTCGCACGAGCGTTTGTTTGGTTTTTTCAACACCATTTATAACTTTCTCTTAATAAAATCACGATTTGTCAAATGTTTAAATTTATTTATCTAATAATAATGCAGCACACAACCCTGAAATCTTAGAAAAAGTCTGAGGAAGGCAATTAAATAGCAGCACACAACCCCGTGCCTTCCTCAGGAGTGAATATAACTACAACAACAACGACTACTACAACAACAACCCAAAAAGGTTGGTTACTGTCTATACTGTGCTGCAAATCGCTTGGCGTACAGCAGTGTTGGTAGCTAGCCGTACGTACGCTTAGAAAAGAGAAAGAAGAAGAAGTTGGTTTACAATTTTCGGTGTGCGTGCATGCATTTCATAAAAGAAAACCGATAAAACAATAAAATTCGTGCAAATAATAGAAAAATAACTGAAAATTAATTAAAGAAATAATAATTTTGCTTCACTTAACATTTTTTGCCTGATACTTTGACGCTTTGAAGTCGCTTCGTGTGCAGATCTTGAGGCGTAGAGGAATCGTTTCTGCATACAAATTTTATACGCGTCTAAAGCTATACGAACCTTGTTCAGATTGCCTAATTCTCCAATTGGTCTCAAACATATCATTGAAATCAGGGGCGGATCCAGCGGAGGGTTTTGCAGGTTAAACTACGTGTCAGTCAGTGGCGGACCCACGGGGGGTATCTTAATATGGCGCATATGTATGTATAAAATAGTGTCTATGTATTAAAACACTCCCCGTGGGTCCGCCACTGACTGACACGTAGTTTAACCCCCAAAACCCCCCCCATTGAAATAGTAAAATACCTTATACCTTTTTGATTGAAACGACATACAAAGAAGAATTTAAATATTCATTTTTCATTTTATTACTCCTTTTGTATTATGTAGTTAAGCAAAATCGTATTACAATAATTTACTTCACAGTACATAGTCCGACAGTAATTTTGCCACTTGATTCACTTGGCGTTTTATTTTCGTTTAAGATTATTGGAGGATATTTTGAAGATTATTTACTTTTTGTTGGTAATTTTCCTCTTTATTGTCAGGGGTGGGTGCTCCCCACGTTGGGCGTTTGTTGAAGGTCCCTAGTAGCTACCCATGGACCGCCGGAACAGATGAAAATAAATAAAAATTAATGAAATTAGTAAAATCCCCATCCTTATTTACCTGATGTTTTCGTTGGTTGCCATCTCAGTGTCGATCGCCATATTATATATGTCACGTACACGTTACCGCGCCTTGTGTGTCACTATCATTGTGGCGGCCCTAGCTAGCTCTGAAATTGTGTGGCCGTGGTTCTCAACCCTTGCCACAATAAAGCAGGCTGGAAGTTACGCGTCGTTCATCCACATGCTTTTGTCAATAGGAAGCCCACCCGTCCATGGACCGCTCATTTCAGACGTCGCCTCGCGGTCTCCCTGTTGTTCTACTCCAATTGCCCACTAACTCACCCTTTTGTCATCTTGCCCTCCCTCCGAAATAAATTAGTCCCTCATATTAAATTTCTTTTCAATTTCGAATATACAAGAGAAATTTTATTGACTAACATGGAACTAATTGTGTAAATTTAAACAATAAATAAGAAATTTAAACAAAAGTTATAAAAATTCATAAAAAAATATCAACATCAAAAATTATTTATATCTATCGCCACCATCAAAAAAAAGGGACCAAACAAGTATATTACAGTTCATAGAACTTAACAAAAAGACACGGTAAACCTATCACCCTACCAAAAAGAGCTCTTTTTTTGTCGGTATACAGGTGTTTCCGGGAGCCGGATGTTCTCCGCTCAGATTAATGATTATCTACCTTGTTGGGTTCTTTTACTGACGGAAAAAAAAGCAGCAACAGAAGGAAACTTATGCTAACATAAAGAATATCGCGAAATACCACGGTTAACGCGCAAATAAACATACATATATATGTGTATCAGTAAAATACATGTATAAAGACTAAACTAAAATACCAAAAATTAAACTAGCTCTATGTCACGTTGTGTATTTCACCTTGGACCGCTTCTGCGCTAATAGGATTTTTTTTCTTTTTTATGGTTTATGGGATTGTGGTGGTCGTCTCGGCTGACCAGAACCATGAACTCCGAATTCTTCCGATATTCCTATTTTGGCGCTTTTCGCTCGCGTGAGCCATAAAATCGCATAAAGCTTTTGTACAAATGGAATACCTTAACCCTAGCACTCACCAGCGAGTTGTGCCGCGCCCTACTACCTTTGCGTACAACATTCAAAATTCCTGGGCGTGCAATCGAATAACTTCCTGGCACACTGGGAACACACAAAAAATTACTCTTCGTTCCTGTTAACACAGAAAAATCCGCACTACATTTACTTACATCTCGCTGGTGGGGGTTTTTTTTTTATCCTAATGTTAGAATCCGTTGGGATTAGTTCAACTGCTTCCGGACGAGAATCTGCTCCTCCTCAATCCTCGGGTTGAGCTCACTCCTCCTCCGGGCCAATACTGCCGGCCACGATCGAACCAACGGGCTTCCTCTGCTTCGTTTGGTGTAACCAACACACGCGCCGTTTATGTTTCTTTTTTTTGAGGTTTTACAATTTTTTATCAAAAACTTCTTTGTCGCCCGAGAATGCCCATGCCTGCGCGCGAGTCGGGGCAGTTAACGTTTCAGTTCACACCGCAATCTTATCCTTACGGTCCACTGTGGACCTCTTTATATAGCCTTGTTTCTACCGCCATCCGTTTTAACCACCGTTTTCCGTAATCCGACCCGTTCGCCCTATATCTGTCTCTCTCCTAATGATTTACTCGGCTCTCGGAATGGCCTTTCCAATCTGGCAAAATTTTTCCTTAAAAGCTTTACAATTTCCCTTTTGGGACTTTTGCTGAGTTTGACATTTGTCGATCGACACAGAGATGGCAACCAACGAAAACATCAGGTAAATAAGGATGGGGATTTTACTAATTTCATTAATTTTTATTTACTTTCAGCTGTTCCGGCGGTCCATGGGTAGCTACTAGGGACCTTCAACAAACGCCCAACGTGGGGAACAC